AAATTATAATCTTCCACTAAGTCTTCTATTATGTGTAACTTGTTTTTAATGCTTCTCACATTTTGAAATAAGAATACTGAATTGGTATTTTTCCTGTTAGGGACGAAAGGAATTATAGTTTCTTCCGAGTTGATTTGTAACAGGTTGAGATTGTGATGTTATTCCTATTTGTAGTTCTGCGTTAGTTGTCATATTTTGATTCTGTTTGCGTGGATGATATTGTGAAGGGCTTTTCTCCAGTTCTGTCGTATGTTTAAATTGTCTATTCCTTCTGAAACTTTCTCTTTCTTGTTTTCTGTGTTGTAAGCCTGATTCGTCGAGATACTCTGATATCCATAAGCCTGTATTTTTAAAGTATAATTTGCATTCTAAGATGCATTTCGTAACTTGTTTGCTCAGTAATTCTATTTTCAAAGGTCGTCTCGTACCCCTCCCACCTATACGGCTTAAATCTTCTACGTATCCTGAAAGATCTATCCCTGCTATATCATAAAATAAATTTAAAATTTTTTCATGTAACTCGTATTCAGTTTCGTATCTGGTTTCGTTTAGTCCATAAAGAACTATTATTTTCTTATGTACTTCTTGTTTTGAATAACTTTGTTCTTTTAAATTGAGGTCAGTTTTGTTATTTTTTGTGTCTGTACTATTTATTTTCATTGGTTTAGTTTCCCTTTGTTCGCGTTTTAATTTTAAAATCTCTTTTTCTAAATCATGTATACGCTTTGTATTATCCTCTGTATTTTGTCGCAACAATTTAATTTCTGTCTCTAAGTTGATATTCTGATTTGTTGTGTTAAGTAAACATGTTTGCAGTATTTTTATAGTATGAGAGAGTTCACGATCTCTAGCTTCTTGTTTTTGAGCTTGTAATGTAATTTGCGCTCTTAGTTCTCGAATTTCTGTGAGCAGTGTATTTTCTGTATTGAATGTGGATTGATTCTGTATTGTATCTCCACCTGAAATAGTGTCATCCAAAATAAAGGAAATTTCAGGATTTTCGTTACCATTAGTGTGTGTTTTACGCCTTTTTGTGACATTTTCATTAAATGGGGAATTAATTTCAATGTTTGGGCCGTCCTTTTGTCGTCGCACTGGGGTGTTAGTGTTATCGTATGTTGGTTGTTTTGATGAGCATTTTGGGCATATCCAAGATAATTTATGCTCCTTGCTCATAGTATTATAAAACCGCTTCTCCGATACATTGACACATTGTAAGTCATACTTTTCTGTGCATAGTGAACAGGTCAAAAATCTTCTGTCTGTTTTATTTAAACTATCCTATCTCTCAAGTTGGATCGAACTGCACATGGTGTGCGAATTTTATTATAATCGGTTCAGTGGTTTAGGAGTCCATTGAGGACAAACATTGTGACACGAGATTTATATATATTAAGATATGTGTGTGTGTGTGTGTGTGTGTGTGTGTGTGTGTGTGAACACAGAACCTCCTCCTATTTTGAAGTCGGTTAAAAATACATAGTGTTAATGTACTAATTTATTCAAAATAAAAAAAGGGGTTAAATATACAAAAAGTTATATGATTACCTACTTTTTAAAATTCAGCCAACTAACCTATTCAACATCACATGGAACTTTAGAAAGTTAGTGGTGTTAATATTTCACAATATTCATGTTTCGGGCGCTTGTTAATCGCTCCACAAGGCAAACAATCGTCAAGAGAAGCCTGTAATTACTGTACACACACGAATCAACGGAGTCGTTTCAATTTGTGTAATTGTTTTAGCCGAAGTTGCTGGAAAGACCGCACAGCCGTAGATGGATTAGAATTAAATTACTTTGATGTATTCAATACAGTATTCAAGTAACTACACAAAAAGTAATTAAAGCTAGGCATAAAGAAATAGTATATAGAATGTGTCACGTAATGCGTGGACAAATATATAAATCTATATATATACAACTCAAAGGTGACTGACTGACTGACATAGTGATCTAACAACGCACAGCCCAAACCACTGGACAGATCGGGCTGAAATTTGGCATGCAGGTAGATGTTATGACGTAGGCATCCGCTAAGAAAGGATTTTGATCAATTCCACCACCAAAGGGATAAAATACCGAAGCGAGGGCGGGCCACTTTTATAATAAAAAAATAGTGTGCACACTTCATCGGCCTAACCTTCCTTACATTTTCAATCCGGTTACTCTGTGTTTCCTACCGTTACCTGACCTTAAGGCGCTTTGCAGACGACGGGGCGGGGCGGGCTTTTTGTCCGCGAAGCAATAAAAACCGCGTCTGCCCGTCGATGTCTGCGGCTGCCCTCGCCGCGTATACAAAGCACACGTCGGGCAGAGGCAGTCAGTTCAGGACGTTCGTTCTAGTGAATAGTCCATCACTAAAAAGTGCGTGGCGCGGACTGAGCTAGCCGCCCCGCGCCGCCGTCTGCGTTACTGCATATAAACTGGTTTGTATGATCCACGGCGGGCAGCCGCGGACATGCCACGCCGCCAGTGCCCGCTGGGCACCTGCGGCGCGGTCTTTTTGCCCTCTGTGTGCGTTTGTAGTATAGGATTCACTTTGTGCTATAGTTCGCGGCGAAATTGACCGGCCCGCTCCGCACGCCGTCTGCAAAGCGCCTAAGAGTCTGACATAACCTTGCAGCCGGCTGCAGGGTATCCATGAGGGTTTCACACCCGCTCCCCCCCCCCCGCCTGGGAGGAAACAAAAACCATCGGTGGTTATCATTCGTATAGAATAGAAAAAAATTGAATTCATTTTGAGTTTGAGACGCAGTTTGGCTTTGATTTAGGTATTTTAGTTTAGAAACAAAAATAGATTTTTATCGGTTTTTCTAATTTCCGATATAGGAAATAAAAACTGCAGCTCAAATATATTGTGACTAGTGGTCCGCCCTCGCTTCGCTTCGGGGTAGAATTGATCAAAATCATTTCTTAGCGGATGCCTACGTCATAACATCTACCTGCATGCCAAATTTCAGCCCGATCCGTCCAGTGGTTTGGGCTGTGCGTTGATAGATCACTATGTCAGTCAGTCACCTTTGAGTTTTATTTAAATAGATAACTACGTAACTACGGAACTCTATACTGCGTGAGGCACGACACGCACTTTGCCGGTTTTTGTGATATAAATATCTTTACAGAACAAAAGGCAGGTTTATTCACTTTAATGTTATTTACAACGTAGCAAACCAAAGCATTTATTAATGGCACGCCAAAAATACACTTTATATTGACCAAAATAAGTTAAATATAGGTACGTTAAATGTCAAGTACTGTACCCTTAGCACGCGAACCAATATCGAATTCGTATCGTTTGCGAGTACGAAATGTCAATGTCAAATTTTGTATGGAAACTTGAACAGCAACGCCACAACGGACGTAACGAGAACTAAAAATCAGTACTCATTCGACAATGACATTTTGTACTCGCAAACGTTACGAATTCGATTTTTGGGTAGTGCTAAGGGTACCGGTGTTCAATAATGACTAAATTTGTACGAAGCAGTTTTTTGGTTTATTTGAGAAGTAACTACTATTAGATACTACACAAATAAATCAAAAACTACATTTCTGTGTCACATTATATTTGATTGGCATACACAAATATCTTGCTATTATAAATAGATAAATAACATTGGAGTTAAATAATAACTACCTCCAATGATCAAAGGAAAGGGAAAAGTAAAGATCAAACAACATTTTAATGTATTAAATTAAACGCAATGATATTATTAAACGCTTAAATGTGTTTAGGAATCTCGTTATGAGTTGATTAGCTCTGTAATTTTAGGATAATTTCTCATTTCTGGTTGGTACTTTCAAATTTTCAAAGTATTGTTAACCAAAACTGAATCTCTTATCTATTAGACAAGTCCGTCTGTCTGTGGTGCTGTTTCAGCGGCCAAACCGTAAGAGATAGATAAAGAGAATATTTAAGTTATAAGTTAAGAATAGTCTGATAAGACTACAAACCGGATTTGAGTAACGTAGCACTTCCGGTTTTCGAGAAATCAGGTTTTGGTGAACATTTAGTTCACTGGTTTGCTAATTTTGGGATAATTTCTCATTTCTGTTTGGTACTTCCAAATTTTCAAAGTATTGTTAACCAAAACTGAATGTACCATAATCGATGTGAGAATTACAATGATTACTATGTTCATTAATGATTTATGATTTAACTGACCCGCCCGCGACTTTACCCGCGTTTTCTTTAGTTTTTGAAAATCCCTCAGAAACCGAGCACATTTCCGGAATAAAGAGTAACTTTGACTTTGACCTATGTCCCAATGCTATGAACTATATGTGTGCCAAATTTCATCCAAACCTGTTCGGCCGCTTTGCGTGATTGAGTAACAAATATACAAACTCTCACATTAATAATATTACTAGCGATCGCCCGCGACTTTGTCCGAACTAATTTTAATAATATATTGAAAATATCACAGGAACCTAACTTTGTTCCGAGATTAAAAGTATCCCATGTCTCAATTCAGATCATAAACTATTATTCGTAATTAGTTTAACTCAATTGTCAAATTACTATGGAGTTTGACAGTCAGGCACGATAAAAAACCTGATAAAATGTATAATGTAGTGCTCATGCTACAGGGACTGAACTAGGAGACCTGTATCTCAGATGCAGTTCTCTTTATCTAAAAATACAAGCTGTTTAAGATGTTCTCAACGCTTACAAACATATTTTTGTAAAGTGTAGCGAGTGAAATAACGTATAAACGTTTACAAAAACTTGACAAATATCTAATAAGAATAACTAATAACTTGGCTAAGATTGTAGGCTTATAGTAATATAAGTTATTTACGTGATTGTTACCATGTACCTTGTTTTTAGTGAGTTTCCGATATCCCGTAAATAACTTATATTACTATAATGTTAGTGACCATGAAAGTTTAAAACAATAGATTGTAGGGTTGCCTTATTACTATTTATTATCTTTGTTTAATTACTATTATTATCATTATTTAATGACATAAAACTATTTCTTTCTTTTTCACAGAGGAGGAAGGCACAGAGTTGGAGCTTGAGGCTCTGTACCGACGATACTGCGTCAGGCTCAAGCATTCACTGTTTGTGTCGGCGCTGTGTGTGACCATTGTATGCAGTCTCGCGCTGCTGATAGCTGTGTGCATATTGTACGCTAATGTGAGTACTTCTAGTCTAAAACACGTTGTATTGTTAGTAAAGCAAGCGAAAAGCACTGATACTGCGTCAGGCTCAAACATTCACTGTTTGTGTCAGCGCTGTGTGTGACAATTGTATGCAATCTCGCGCTACTGATAGCCGTGTGCGTATTGTATGCTAATGTGAGTACTCGTAGTCTTTAACACGTTTTATAAATAGTAAAACAGGCAACATGCATTCACTGCTTGTGTCAGCACTGAGTGAGAAAATTTTATGTAGTCAAGCGTTGCTCTAAGCCGTGTGCGTATTATACGGTAAAATGAGTACTGGTAGTCTCAAGATGATGGATAAGTAGTACTACGGCTTAAAGAAGTTTCTTAACTACGTGGTATCAATAGAGCTATGGGAGAAATAAGGACTCACTTTTTGTATCAGCGCTGTGTGTGACAATTGTATGCAGTCTCGCACTACTAAATAGCTGTGTGCATATTGTACGCTAATATGAGTACTCTTATTCATAATCACTTTCAATTTTATAAATAGTAAAACAGGTAACAATCACTCACAGCTTGTGTCAGCGCTGAGTGTGATCATTGTATGCAGTCTCGCGCTGCTGAATGCCGTGGCCATATTGTAAGCTAATGTCAGTACTTTTTTTTTCTAAACACGTTTTATAAATAGTAAAACAGTCAACAAGCACTCAATGCTTGTGTCAGCGCTGTGTGAGACCATTGTATGCAGTCAAGAGCTGCTGAAAGCCGTGTGCATATTGTACGCTATTGTGAGTACTCGTAGTCTCAAAACACATTTTATAAATAGTGAAACAGGTAAAAATTATTCACAGCTTGTGTCAGCGCTGTGTGTGACTATTGTATGTAGTCAAGAGCTGCTGAAAGCTGTGTGCATATTGTACGCTAATATGAGTACGCGTAGTCTCAAAACACATTTTATAAATAGTAAAACAAGCAACAATCACTCACTGCTTGTGTCAGCGCTGTGTATTGTAACGTACCTTAATATGGTTTCGACTCATGGTTTCGATTATCATAGGTTCCATTTCGCACATTTTATCATATAACATCATCGATATTCATCAGGCATCATCATATATTTTATCATTTATTCCTGGAAACACATAATTTCAAAAATATCACACACTATTCATCATTTTGTAAATACGTATAATAATTTCTTCTGTACTGAAAATCACTATTCCAGAGTGCTGGACACTTGCCGGCATTTCTCTTTATTCTGTTATTTACTTGTTTTCACTAATTATGCTTTGATTTTATCTATTTTTAATTTATTTATTTTATTGACATTTTATGACAACCTAATGTTTTTTATCCGTTGCCATGGCTACCCATGACACGGATACTCTCTCCAACTACGTCTATGACTATTCAACCTCCACAGACCACTTACTTTGATTCTTTTTGGCTCGATTCGAACCGTGTCTAAATTCAAATGGTTCCGGACCTATAAAAGGCCGAGCCTCCCTGATCATTCATTCAATTCTACGGCAAAAGTTGCCTACTCAACTTTTGAAAAGCTCGCTACCGAGCTCTAAATTAATAAAAGGCCTTGTCCCGGGGCCGACTGCCCCGGGACTCAAGAAAGACCTCAAAGCTTTTTAGCACCTATTGGCTCTTTAAACAACTTCCTAACTCCAATACTATACTACTATACACGTTCTCGCAACCTCATCGGTGGGACTGCGCCTGGACTCCAGCTTCTTCGGCCAGCCTCCAGCTGCTTCAGCCCGCCTTCTACCGACTCCTGCCGTTTCTTCAACGCCCGCCTCTGGCCGATATACGCCGGCCAAACTACCAGCAGCGCCGCCAGCAACCACCAGGGGAGGCCAAGAACTAAGACGGCTGCACAGGAGCGCTTCTGCCTCCAAGGAGCGCCGTCCATCTACCTGTTGCACGACCTACCGTTCAAGCCGCCCCTGAAGATCGCCGACGACCCACGCCCTACCGTTCAAGCCGCCCCTGAAGATCGCCGACGACCCACGCCCTACCGTTGAAGCCGCCCCTGAAGATCGCCGACGACCCACGCCCACTTCACAACCCACACTTCACACACATTCCATTTTTTTTTTAATAATCTGTAAATACTACTTTATCTTGTAAATATATATTCCTATACTTACTGTTCTTTTGATTTTTCCTTCCTTCCTATCTAGTTTTATTTTGTTGCTACCCGACAGTATGACCATTTTATGCAGTCTTGCGCTGCTGAAAGCCGTGTGCATATTGTACGCTAATGTGAGTACTCGTAGTCTTAAACACATTTTATAAATAGTAAAACAGGCAACAGGCATTCACTGCTTGTGGCAGCGCTGAGTGTGACCATTGAATGCAGTCAAGCGTTGCTGTAAGCCGTGTGCATATTGGACGCTAATGTGAATACTCGTAGTCTTAAAATGGTGTATTAATAGTACTACGGCTTAAAGAAGCTTCTTAAATACGTGGCATCAATATTCAATTTCCTGGGATAACATTCCTCCTAACCCTAATTTTGGCGCGAAGGCGCATTGTAGGTTTCAGAACACTACGTTACAGGTGGACAACCATTATCACTTAAGGATATGAAAAATAGATAGTAGCCGATCCTCAGACCCACGGAATATGCATATAAAATTTCATAAAAATCGGTCAGGCCGTTTCGGAGGAGTATAGTAACTAACATTGTGACACGAGATTTTTTTAAATAAGATATACACGCCCATACATATAACACATATACTGTTACCCCTCATGGGGTGTAAGTACATTATCGTTGTTACTATTCCGAGCTAAACGCTGCAGCGTTAATCTTGAGAAAATAATGATGTTATCTCGAGTCGGGGAGCGTAATGCGATTGGCTGCATGCATTATTGTGTTACATGGACATCGCTTTTAAGGCGCTGAGTGCACCTAATTGTATGTAGTTTGTATGTATGAGCTTATGCGATTAAGCAGGGATAGGTTCCCGATAAGCGGTATTGATCGGAGAAACTCCACGGTTTAATATTCTGGTCTGAGGGTGGCAGATATTAACCGACTCTCGCCATGATGTTTTATCGGATTAAGTGCCTAAATTTTGAACTCCACTGAGCATTTTAGCGTTAAATTTTCTCAAGCGTTATTTAGGTGTCCATTTTGTTATGTTAACGTAAGAGTGAGGAGCTCGATGGCGCAGGTGGTTAGCGCGTTCGACTGCGATCGTTGAAGTTAAGCAACTTTCGCAGTGGTCGGTCATTGGATGGGTGACCAAAAATCTTCTATCTCGAGTTCCTCCGTGCTTCGGAAGGCACGCTAAGCCGTTGATCCCGCCTGCTACGGCAGTCATTAGCACCCGCCAATCTGCACTGGATTTGCGTTGGTGGGTCATGACCCAATCTACCTATTCTACCCATAGGGAAGTTCTTGTTACTTAAAACACAAGACTATTTGCTTATATTACTTCTCTGTCGTTTATAAGAATAGGTATTAATATATTTCGTAAATTTTCATATTAAGGCAAAGTTATGACCCGCCGGATCATGCTTGATAGTAAGTTTTTTTTTAGTGTGTATGCTGTTGGTCGCAGATGACCTTTACAGCGTCACCGGGTTTGGGGACGGCGAGATCCTAAGGGGACCTCAAGCCGAGAATCGGCGAGTGCCTCTAGAAGTATTCCAGGCGGATGGCATCTCCTCAGGGGAGGAGTCTCCTCTCCTTTTGGAGCCTCTAGACCACTCGAACCTCCCCTCAGGTTCTCAGTCCTCAGTCTCTGAGACTCGGACCTCGGCTCTAGTTAGCCGTTGTCGTGGGGGGCGGGGAAAAACACCCAGATACGTATCTGTACCTGGTATAGCTTGTCGTGTGTAGACCGGGTCTTCGCACACTTATCCTACGGGTGCGGTGTCTGCCTAATGCTAAGCTAGTGTGCAAGTATGCTAGCTGTGTAGTTTTGGTGTTTGTGGCCTGTGTGGGTGGAGTCGGAGGCGTGAGATAGTAAGAGACCACCATTGACTATAGACGCTTGTGTTAGAGAGTTTTTGAAGTTATACTTCTTTAGGCGCGTTATGAAAAAATGATGAGAGTGAAATTTTTAGATGCGCGCGCATCACTGTAACCCAAAAGTAACAGCATGAAGTTGGCCGCGGGCGCGTTTTGAAAAAATCATGTGAGTGAAATTTCGAGATGCGCGCGCATCACTGTAACACAATAGTAACACCATGAAGTTGGCCGCGGGCGCGTTATGAATGTTAGTGTCTAATAAAGGTACTTTGAACGATCCACGGAGCTCCATAAGATGATCGCGTTGTCAAAAACAATGTTGGCACGCTCGTCGCCTCTGATCACTGTTTTCATATTTATTATATTATCCACATGTTTCTAGTTTCTATATAGACACAACGTGTTTTAGTTACTTACAAGTGCTAATTACTAATAACTTAAATTCAGTAGTGATTTTAATTGAATATTTTGAATATTTATTTAATTTTTCAAATTAAAACTGAACTTAATTGACTGTGTGAGATAGTGTCCTTTTCCAGTCCTTTTATTATTTTATTGTAATTATTAAATATTTGCATGCAATTAAAAAATATTTTTAATGATGCTAAAGAAGTATAACTTCTCACGCGCGTACATAAGTTACACGCATCATTTTTTTTTTATATATACAGGTAGGCAAATGACTCTACCCCACCTGATGTTAAGTGGTAATAATGTCCAAACGCGAAGATAGTTGGTACAGCAGTTATAAACTGCTACACCAATCATCCTCACCTTGCCGGCCTGCAAAAATGCTTCTTCACGCCTCTCGCAATGGACCCCAGATTATAGGAAGGAGGGAACACTTGCGCGGGTAAAGAATTCCACTTACGAATAGTACGATAAAGAAATGAGTCACCAAATTTCTTTGTTCGTGTAGGAATATTGGCCACAGTAAGTCGGTGGCAACGTAAGCCAGTGCTCGTGGTCCTCTGAAGTCCTCCCTTATCCCTCCATCAAATCACCTTTTGATGGAGGGATAAGGGAGAATA